CTTTCCCTGTCTCTCTCACTCTGTTATTGACTCATTCAAACATTTATTGAGCACTTATTTTATGCCAGCTCCATTGATAAATGAGACCCAATCCTGCCCCTGAAGTAGCTCCTAATAAACACTTTCCACTTGACCTCACCCTTTCTCTTCTGATTTCCTAATGTCCACTCCCAGCAGGAACTAGCTTGTCAGCCAGGCTCCTCATCGAACCCGGGACCCTTCAGTCCGCAGACCGACGCTCTATCCACTGAGCCAAACCGGTTTCGGCTTGCTACAAGTTTCTATTCTGTCATCTGAGATTACCTTAACATTTTCATGATCTGTTATATTAAAGTCCGCCGTTCTCTGAGGTGTTTTTTATTTTCTCCTCTTCTAGCCCAAAGTGGTCTCTCATTTTTCAAAATTTGTTCTGTTCTTATGTCATTAATGAATTAATAAATTACTTTTCCCGGTAGTATTTTAGGAAATAATATTCATTTTGTGCCCATCTAGATAATGACATCCTTGATGGTGGGAGACTTTAGGCTTTACTCCAGTAATGTCTATACTCCCCAGATAGCTGGCACACATTTTTGGTTTGTAAATAATGCTTTTTAACAAGTTTGTCTTTTGAATGTTGAAGAATGACAAGATTTAATAAAATTGCATTATTGCATTGAACAAGGGAACTGGAGAGATTATGCCACTCATTGTCTCCTGTTAAATACAGGTGTGCAGTGGTTTTGACTCAACACACATTGTTTGTGCTTGCAGATTGTGGCTAAGAAATTCTGGTTTTCATAATATTTGTGTCTTAGATGTATTCGTTTAAGAAATGAGTCTGAAATGCTATGAACTTCAAAAACTTTCGGTGATGCCTGACCGGTTTGGCTCAGTGGATAGAGCGTTGGCCTGCGGACTGAAGGGTCCCGGGTTCGATTCCGGTCAAGGGCATGTACCTTGGTTGCGGGCACATCCCCAGTGGGGAGTGTGCAGGAGGCAGCTGATCGATGTTTCTCTCTCATCGATGTTTCTAACTCTCTATCTCTCTCCCTTCCTCTCTGTAAAAAATCAATAAAATATACTTTAAAAAAAACAAAAAAAAAAACTTTCGGTGATGTTTAAAGTTTAGAATGTTGGTAGAAGACAAAATGAGAAGCTCATATTTATTTGAATATATTCCTGTGAAAATGGTTGGTAGCTAAGGAGCATTTGTTTCTTTGTATACTTATGTGTAAATATATATATTGTGCATGTACCAGATTTTTTAAAAAACATATTTTTATTGATTTCAGAGAAAGGGAGAGGGAGAAAGATAGAACCATCAATGAAAGCGAATCATTGATCAGCTGCCTTCTGCACACCCCCTACTGGGGATTGAGCCCACAATCCAGGCCATTTGCCCTTAGCACCAACCACTCAGGAGCCACACTGGCCTGGCTGTACCAGTTTTCATGACAGATTAATTCAGAGCTATTTTTGGAAAGACTTCAATTGGAATGAGTTCAGGATGTACTTAGAAACATTTTAGGAAATAGATCAGGCTGACAGGAAACTGTGGAAATGTAGAATTTTTAAAAGCTGGGTGAGAGTGCTAATTTAGGAAGGCATTATCAGTTTATTTCAGGAAATACACACTTACAGTCTTTACAGAGGGCTATTTGGGGTGGTGCTATATCATAGGAGAGAAAAAGACACGGATAGTCATTTGCAGTGTTTAGTCATCTGGAGAAGAAAATCTTGATGGAATTGCCATTGCCATGGTTTTATTTGCCCTTTCCACTAATAAAATGAGATGTACATCTTTTTTGAAGCTGAAGTGTTAGGTGACAAACAGACCATACAACTAAAGAAAAAATTATTTTTTTAGAGTATATGGTCATTTATTTTCATGTTTTAAAGTAATCTGTGCTAAATGATCATTTCTTTCCACTTAAAACATGCGTGTTACATTTAGAACAACATATAACTTCTTTAGGTACTCCGCTTTCAGACCATATAGCTGCGTATTGTTTTGCCACTAATGGGCTTTCATAACAATGAGAACACTTGGCCATCCTGCTGACTATGATACAAAGGTGGACATTAATCAGAAACATAAAAGTGACTCTAACATTTAGTCACTTCTTTCAGGTTATTTTGTGTCATGAAGCAAATTATTTAATAGAAGTTTTTAATCTATAAAGTAAAAATTTTTAATGTTCTCAACTTAAGAAATGTGATATTTTATAATGTAGTTGTCCAAATTTTGGTCGACCAGACCTAGAAGTCCAGTCTAAGTTGGAGGAGAGATGAACGTGATTGCCCTCTCCCTCCGTATTGCATCAAGTTTCACATGAATGTTGCTTCTTTCTTTATAGTTGGCGATTGCAGAAATGAAATGCTATTTGTTTTTTTGAAAACAAGAAATGGATTACAGTTACATTGCCAAATTCTTATTTTCCTCTGTTTCTATTCTAGATTAAAGAGTCTATTGTTGGGGAAATCAGACGGGAAATTGTGAGTGGACTTCTGGCAGCAGTGTCTTCAAGTAAAGCATCAAATTCTAAGCAAGATAGTCATTAAATGGAATTAATAGGTAAATTTACTGATGTTCTTTGTTTAGATAAATGTAGTTTTTAATGCTTTGTTTTCTTAGTACAGAGGTCTGCTTCTCTAACAAAATTTTAATTTTTAGAATGTATGCACTATATTATTTTACAGTGTAAAAGCCACATACAGCCCCTTTTGAAATGTAGTCAAAATCTTATAATACTAACCTCCAAGGGATTGTTACACAGAGTGGGACAGAAGTGACTTTACAGCCCTAACTGGTTTGACTCAGTGGATAGAGCATCAGCCTGCAGACTGAAAGGTCCCAGGTTCAATTCCGGTCCAGGGCATGTACCCCAGTAGGGGATGTGCACGAGGTAGCTGATCAATGTTTCTCTCTCATTGATGTTTCTAACTCTCTATCCCTCTCCCTTCTTCTCTGTAAAAAAATTAATAAAATATATTTTTTTAAAAAGAAGTAACTTTACAATTGTTCATACGGAAAATAATACAAGATTTACCTCTGTGTTTACCATACTCACAACTGTAAATCTGCTTTCACCCCACCCTGTATTATGTCATTTTACTGAAATTTCATTATAGTAAACAAATTCTGGAATTGGGGAGATAAGGACCTTCAAACCTGAGTCTTATTTTAATTGCATTGGCTATAATGGTATTTCAGATGTATAATTTATGGACCACGATTTTGAGAATCACAAATTCATAGTTATCTTTCTCAATTTTTGCCTTCTGAGAAATATTTCCCATAATTCCATATCTAGTCATGTCATAATATGTAGACCATATCTAGTCATGTCATAATATGTAGAATTGTTTTATGTGTTTTAGGTATAAAAATGAAGAACTTTAATTTTGTCTCATAACTCTAGTTACATTTTATAAAATATATATTAATAGTCATACTCAAATGCCAAAGTCCATAATACAATTCGGTAGAATAATGCCAGAATGAAAAATATTCATTTAGTAGAATATGAGAAACAAATATATAATTTGAAAAAATATATATATGTAAGTATATAAATATTTATAATATAAAAATATAAATATATGATATAAAAATATACAAAAAGAATTTCAGCTGTAGAAAATAGGAAAAATAGTTTTATAAACTATTTCATAAAATAATTAACAGGGCCTTTTTCAAAGCCAGGGATAAAAGAATTAGCTTTCAGAAAGACGTGTAGAGATCACAACAGGATTTTATGTGTGTGTGTGTGTGTGTGTGTGTGTGTGTGGTGAACATTCTCATTTCACTTTTAAATAACCTTTTAGTAATATTTGAAAGATTTTGATGTTCTCTTTTTCTTTTCCAAGGTTGGCATGGATCATATTAGCTGAGTAATGTTGGAGTTATGATATACACTGGTGGAGGTGTTATTTGTGCTTCAGAAGATACTTGCTGCTGAGTTGGGCTGCTGTATACAGTGTACAATGTTTATTCTATGCATATCTTTTTTAAAAACATACATAGAAACTTAGGCACTTTGCTAACTTTATTTCTCTCCTAAACTGTATCCATTCAAAAAGCCTAATATTTATTTGTATGTCAATATTTTCCAATGGATTCCCTATGTAGAATTAATTTTAAAACTTGAAAACTTCCAGATTTAACCAACGTATAAATAACATATTTCTTTAGACTAGCTTCCTTAAACACTGACCTCTATGAGGTATTTACTGTGCAATAACTGATTTGTTTTTTTGAGAGCTTGAAACAACCAATGATTTTCCCTCTACTGCTGTTAATTAGTGTCTCTTCCAAGAAGAAAATTTGTTCTGTTGTGAAAGTTTGCTCTTAGTTCTTGAGGAAGTTACTAATAGCAGTAAGATAGAATTCTCATATGAGGTTTCCTGCCAACTACTTAATGTTCTTACACTGTAAGCATTGTTACTTTACCTAAGACAAATGTATTTTTATTATAGCTTATGTAGTAGTTTTCTTTTGGAAATGTGTCTTATATTAAACACTATGTACTTTTTGCATTGTCCAGACTTCTTTATTGTGAGGAGATGTTTATTCTTCTGTCCTTTAGACGAAATAGTAGAGAATTTCCAAAAATAACGGGGCCTATGACTTGAATGGGTAGAAATAAATAAGCTGTTTTTGTTTCTGTTTTTTTTTTTCTCAAAATGGAAGTAATTTAGATTTGTTCTCCGGGTGGGCGGGGAGAGGACGATGGCTTCCTATTTGGTTATGTGGGTTAATAAATAAATATGTAAGGTAACAACTAAATGTTATTAGAATTATTCCCTTGGCATTTATAATTTTCAACTCCTAGTCTATTTCTTTGTGTGAAACTTTAATCAAAAGTGGTCAAGATGTTAACAATATTCTTTGAAAAACTATCTAAAAGGTTTATAAGTGTTTGAATTATCACACAAAGGCTGATTTCTTTAAAAAAAATTAAAACAATAAAGTATTTATTTTGCCTAACATGTTTTTAAGTGGTTTCTTTTCTGGAACTACAGCATGAAGAAATAGGATTAGATTTGATGAGTAATGAATGAAGTCCAAAAGAATTACAGCATATAACCTAATAGGCTAATATTCTCTTTTCCTGAAGAAGTTGAAATGCAGTTTAGACTAGACCACCCTGGAGAAAGATACGTACTGAGGCTTCTTGGTCTCGTCTAGTTCTGTGGTCCTAATGATTGCCATCTGAGGCAAAATAAAACTTTTCTGTAAAAAATACTGTTAAACTATACAAAAAACATTAAAATATTAGCTTATTCTGTGGTAAAATTGCCTGGTAATTTAACTAGTTGATTTTAATAATGATAAGGAAAAACCAAACACCCTATATTATAAGCATATAATCATATCAATGATTTTTACTACTCAGCGTTGTAGCCATATTTAGTTCATTTCTGATAATACAAAATACCCAGAATTTGCTAATCAAAATTAGAGATGTAACAGTTACAATAATAGGCTGAGCTAGTGGGCAAATCACTTAGTAGTATACGAATAAAATAAAATGGAACTCGGCACTATTAGTTTCATCTTTCCTCTCCCCATTTTAAACCTTTGTGTACTTGAACTGTTGAAAGCTACTATATTCAAATCACCGTGCTAGCTGCTATGAACAAATGAATGAGAGATCCATACCTACTTGGCAGGGGAGATGCCATGATCAGGAAGGTGGTTTTCCCAGGTGGAGGCTTAGCCCTTGCACTGGGATTGGATTTCCCCAAATCTGGGATACGCAACTGCATAATTTGTGTTCGTGGGGGACTGTGTTCACTCTCTCTCCCCTGGGGGTGGGGGAATGAATAAGAGAGGGTCTACGAACTAAGTGGAAGAACAAGGCATACTTTTATTTATGGGTAAGTTTGGAAGCGCCAAATGGAAAGTATGCAGAAGAAGAATGAAAAGAATTCGAAAGACTCCTTGGATGGTCAGAGAAGTCTTTACCAAGGAGACGTGGATGGAGTAAAGTCTTAAAGAATGGGAAGTGGAAACGATGGGGTTCAAGTAGTTAGATTTCTGATTCACTGCTGAGCACATTGACACTGTATGCAAGCTGTTATTCCAGTACCAAGGCATCAGCTATGATAGTGAGAACAAAGAAAACCAGGTAAAGGGCCTGCCTTCATAGTAACAAATAGAAATTTAAAAACTGTATGAGAGGAGCTATTAATTAGATAAGACATCGTAACTTTATATATTTAGAATTCAGCCAGAATAAGTGAATTAAATGCTTTCAATATTCATACATGATTGCAACAATCATATATTTAACACTACAAAATTTAGATCCTTAGGTTTAATTCTTTCCTCTTTCTCCTTCGTAAAGCTGCTATAAATTCTTCCTTTCCAGGAAGGAAAACAGAAAAAAAAAAAAAAAAGAACCTATGCTTCTTCAGTTTGGGCTATTATTCTACTAAGCAACACTTCCAATTGGACAGGTGAGGGGTCTGGACAATACTTATCTTCAAGAATCCCCCAAACATATTTTTTCGTTCTATTATTTTACATGCATTATTATTTTCCTTAAAAAAAAAGTCATAAACCTAACACTGTTCTAAAAATATAGTTGATGGCCAGCTGAATAAACAGTCTTAACTGACATAATGCATCATTTAAATGTTACTGAAATTCAACGGAATATTCTTGGAGGAACAATATGTACTTCAAGTCTGAGAAGCTGCCATTATTGACAATGTATATCATCATTCGCAGTGACCCCCAATTTCCAAATCACCATCAAAAGATACTTTTGCCTCCATGCCTTCTTAATTCAGGCTCTTAGCACAGTATGTGCAAGCTATAGACAACTTAGGTTCTAAAAATCATTCCTTTCATGATGCATATTGTAACTCACCCTGAGTTTATTCTGGATGACCTTTGCTAATGCTCTTGACTACTCAAACATAAACCTATCGACCAAGTATTGGCCCATTTCCTCATGAGTGTCTATTTGGATGCCCCACGGAGACGGAGACTAATCTTCTGTGAACAATGATTAGCTTACTTGCTCACTCCATTCACTCACTTACTAAATTTTACTGGATACCCACCCTTAGGAAGATGGATATAGAAAGAAAGAATGAATAGCAGCATGTTTTCAGAAAAGGTAATAAAGTACATTGTTTAGAACTCTGAAAAAATCAATACACTTAGGAATTAGATTGTCTCCTACTGGTAGCAAGGATATAGAATAGCAGGTCTTACTATCTGTCTGCCAGATGCTTCGAAGGGAGAAATAAGTTAAGCAGAGAAAGGACATTTTACCACTAAGGAGATATCTTACAGGAAGCTTTTCATTCTAGCCCAGAGTTCAAAGTAAAAAACAAAAACAAGCATAGCACAGAGGAAGGCAACCACAGGGGAACAACCCAAGTCCTCAGGGAAACAGAGTGGCCAAGAGAGGCCTGCGGCAGCAATAAGAGCATGAGCAGAGCTATTTTGTTGTTCATCGGAGCAGGTAATACGTATTTATACTGTGTTAACCGGACATTGAGAAAAGCAAAGACAGTCTGAGTGCTTCTAGGGTCAACCAGTCAAGAAAGAGAATGAAACCCATTAAGGAAAGAACTAGCTTTAGAGACGCTGCAGAAGGGAGTCAGCTGTAAGAATGGAATTGGTTTCAGTCGTTGGTATTTGGAGTTGCTTACCATCCCTTTGGGGAAGGGATTGGTGGTTAAAAAGAGTTATACCTGTGTTGAACACATTGTAATATGTTACTCGTGTTCTTGAGTTAATTGTTTAGTAAATCCATCCATAGACAATGCATGTTTTGTTTCGGTGCATCACATATAATTCTTTTTATTATTTCTCCAGTCCCAAGGTGGGGTAAAAACAATTCCCTTGAGCATTGCAAAGCAGATGCTATCTGATGAGGCAGTTCACAAACATGTATCACAATCTTCTGCCTCTGCAGACATTGCTCGATTACTCACAAGGGACCATCGGGTACACCTCAGTTGTGAATGTTTCTGTGTTTGGTTTTAAAGTACTTATACCACTATTATTGAGATACATAAAATAAGCTCACTCATATACGCCTTCAAATACAAATGGAATTTTACCCAGATCGCACCAGCCTGTGAGGAGATACGGGTTGCATTAGTGATGATAGGCACTTGAAAATCTTGTTCCATCGCCTGCTGAGGCATATCCTCTCCCAAATCTCATACATTTATATTGAAAGGGATCCCCAATTGTTTTTCATGTATCTACACAACTGTTCTTAACTCTTGATTCCAAGTGATTTCTTCTTTACAATTATATTCATTCAACATATATTTAATGAACATCTGTTGAGTACAAAGCACGAATGACAAAGTTAATGTTTTTATCACCTTATTTTACTATTTGCTCATTCTACTAGCATTTGAGTAATTTTTTTTTTTTTTTTTTTTTTTACAATTCACAAGAGTTTTTATCTTGGTGCAATTTATTATTGTTGTTTTTGTTATCTTTCAGTTGCTCTATAGGAAGCCAAAAATAGAACACAAATAATATCACAATTGTGTCAGGTGTAATCCTAAACCATTTTTTTGAATGGATATTAATTTCCTAGAAGAATCCTAGTTTGGTTCATTCTGCCTGTAATGCCCATAATGGGAAAGGGAATGAATGGAATAACCCATATCTTGTGAGGTGTCTTAATCTTTTTTAAATCTAGATATACATTTTGACAGAAATTATTTGTAAAGAAGCACAACAGCAGTGAAGAAAACTTCACCCATCGTCAAAAAATATGTGAGTTATAAACCACAGTCGAAGTATCACTCACAATTTTTCTAAAATAGGCTTAATGTCCCAAAGATTTTGGATTTGTGTCTACTCATAGGTAAATCCTCCCCCCCCCCCCCACCCCCACTCCAAAATCCAAGTGCTTGGCTTTATAAAAACAACAAGCTGAAACTCAATGTGGCACATCAGAGAAACTGATAACCATCCATTTACAACATGTCTTGGTTTATGGATCATCTGAATTATAGCAAAGCTGGCAGCAAAGCAACTTTCTTTAAAGTACTTAATACTTTCCAATTAATAACAAAAATAAAGGGAAAAGAGGAGAAGGCAGTGGGGGAATCAGTAATAACCTGAATAGAAATTTTCTTGTGAGGAAATATTTCTATAATGGAAAAATCCCAACCACAGGTACTTGTAGAGTGATATGGATTTCTGCTGGGGTCCGACCCCAGCAGGTCCAGGGGTCCTCAAAGGTGTGGACGGAGTCAGCGAAGAAGGAATGACATGGAGACAGCGTTCAGTTGATCAGCAGCCTTGCCAGGATCCTAGGCCACAATCTCCAGCCAAGTTCTGTTCAGGGTCTCTAGCGAAGTTCTGGTTAGGATCTCCAGTCAGTTTCTGTGTCCGTGTTCCCTCGCTAGGTTCTCCAGCCAGGTTCGGTCACCAGGTTCTGTCTAGGTTCTCCAACCAAGTTCTGTAGCCAGGTTCTGTCCAGGATCTTTTGCCATGTTCGCTCCAGCGAAGTTCTTCTGTCTCTAGGTTCTGTGTAGGTTCTGTCTTCTAAGTTCTGTCTTCTAAGTTCTGTCTCTACGATCTTCATCTAAGTTCTGTGTCCTGTTGTCTTGTTACATCTGTATTTATACCAGTTGATTCCAATCCTATCAATCTCTATTCCAAAGGTTAGGGCGTTTCTTATCTCCATTCCAGGGAGTAAAGATTATGTAGCTTAAGCATGATTGTTCGTAGTTAAAGAGATTAATTACCCACCTGGCACTTAGTGAAGGGGTTTTATTCCCTCCCTAACTTCAGGGGAAAATCCCTACCTGGGGAAACAACCTTTCTCAGAGAGGTGACCTTGGTTAAAACACATAGTGCCAAGAAGGTGAGCAAACATATTAAGAACAGTATGCCATATATGCCAAGTCCCTTGAAACAGCAAGGATGGACCAGCTCCCAGCAGATTTCTTTTATAGTGTGTTCTCAATTTCAGCATTTCTGTTCTGCTTTTC